GAGAAGACGAGCAAATCATGGAAAGAATATATTAAAGATTTAATACACTTACACACACTACTTACTTCATATATAACCCACGAGAAGAAAAACATATCATAGCAATAAAATATTTAAAAAATAAAAAATAAAAAATTGTAAAATCATATGGATCCACCAGAGGCTCAATCCATTGAGAAGTCGAGTGCTCCCACCGAAGATGGACAAGACAAAGCTGTTAACGAATGGTACATACGTTTCTCATTCTTTTCTAATTTTGTAATAATTAATTTTGGGGTTTAATTGAACGTTGTTGATATTCTTGGATTGACTTGAGAAACGTAAAAGTTGTAATTTCTGATGAAGAAGGTGTTGTTGGTTCATTTTTTCTTTAATTGTTTTTTGAATGGTTGCTGCAGTTGCTCTTGCTTCTACGACTGTACCAACAGCTGCTTCGACTACCTCTTCTGTGATTTGTGTTAGTTTCCAGTTCGACGATGAGGGTGAAACCGTGGCTCGAACATAATGTTCTCGGGTAGTCCATCCTCGTAATATAGTTGTACCAAAAAAAAAATAAGATTGTGGCCCCCGTGGAGGAGGACATACAATTTTTTTTGGTTAATTTTTCTTTTAATGGTAAAATTATGTCTAATTTGGTTTTAATTTATTTATGCTCGAGAGATATTTTAAATAATAGATGAAGAACAGGTTTTTGTTTCTTCTCATCTATTATTATTATTATTATTATTATTATTATTATTATTATTTATTTGCAATTAGTCTGTATATCCAGTGTGATAAAGATTATTAAAATTGTTATTATAATTATATTTATAAACAAACAAAATTAACATGTTGTAAAGATAACACAATTTTTTAAATGAAAAATGAGAATGAAAAAAAAAAAATAAAAAAATTGATGGAATAAACGATACACAATTTAAAGTCTATGACTTGTTTGATCTGTGTTCTGAGTGAAAAATGAATATCATTGAGAATTGTAAAGTTTTTGTACAATTGAACCACTGCAAAAGGGATTAACATATCAATTGTAAGTTCAATTTATCAATCTAAACACGCAAGTTTTTTTATATGTTTTAGAGATCTTATAATTAATCTCTTTTTTTCTTGTTTTGTTGTATTACTCAAAACTCCATAGGGGACGTGTTTTGATAAACAATCGTTTGGTATTTTGTGAGCAAAGTGAATCGTGTGTAATGCAAGGGAGTGTTGAATTTGAAATTGAAATATTATTGAGGATGTTAATTATGTTGAATGAATTTTACAATATACTCCAACAATGGCGTCCTCGTTGTCGGCAACGAGGACGCCATTATCGGTGGCAGATATCGTCTTAGTTCCTATGTTGAATGAATTTTTAGCCTCAACAATTTTCTCTTCAATGAATTCAGTAGCCCTACATGTAAAGCGGGACCATGCTGCGAAAAATTTCCATTGACATTTTCTGCATACAGAAGTTCTTGCACTTCAATTGTGATAGAACCAACATCTTCTTGATTGTTGCCCTCATCAACTTGTTCGGAAGAGGCTGAAGTTGCTTGACCATCAGATGGATGAATTATTGTTTATCTCATCAACTTTTTCAGAAAAGGCTGGAGATGCTTGACCATTAGATGGATGAATTCCAGCACTGGATAAAAACTCTTTTAAAGGCAGCTGCCAAAGCATCATCAGTTGACCAAGCTTTCTTTGGTTCACACTAGGAGATTCATTTGCTGCTTCGAAGTATTCTTCATCTTCACTTACGTTTAATAAGAAAGAATAAGCCCCACATTCATCCGTCTCATGGGTCTCGTCATCAAAAGAGGCTGACCCTCATACTCGATCGATCCTTGCTCATCAAAAAACTCAGCGGCTTCTATGCCCCCAAAAAAATCGGGGATATCGAATAAGAACAATGACGCCCAACGCCAATCTTCAGCGAACCGACCTTTGTCTTGCTGGTTTGACCAGTTATCTTCTTCATATGCAAAATTCGCTCCAAAAAGAATTCTGGCCTCTTCTAGAACTCGGTGGGTCTGGCTGGCTGGCGTCAAATATTACGAGTTTCCCATCCGCGTGCGTAACAACGAATCTGATTCGTCCCTTCACGTGCGTCTGGCGGTCCTTTGGAGCAGCATCTTTTCGATCTACACAACGACTCGGTTCGTCAATTGTACGCCCTTATTGGTGGAACGTACGCTCTCCTCCAATCGATCAATTCGTTCTCTGTTTGACATGATGATAAACGATTAGTTCTCTCAATGGAAGTCCAATGATGAAGATCGTGCATCGTGAAATCGAAAATTGTGAAAACTCGCACTGGGGGCCGTCGGTTAAGACTAGATTTGTACTTGAACGCGTGCAGTTTTGAAAGTCTTCCAAAAGACGAATACATAAAGAGAGAAAAATACTGAAATAACAACTAAAGTCCTAAAAAATATCAAAATAACAAACAAAGCCAGTAAATAGAAAAATTTTCAACTGGCCCCCGGTTCACGTTAGCTTCCACAACGCGACACCTTCGTGGAGCAAGAACCACTCCTGAGCCTCTGTTAGATCGCGAAGGGTCGTCGCTGTGCGGTGACCAGTCTTGCTGCTGCGACGCGGTTTGCCGTTGATAACTCTCGTTCTCATCATACTACAAACTAGTAATACTCGAATCGATCCAATCCTATAATTTTCGAGTGTAGCCACCCCCTACCGAATACATATACGACTCAATTGGGTTCCAACTTCATGAAGTTTAAACTATAAGGACCAGTAGAGCTGTCCACAAACAGTTGGGGGACCATTCTGCAAATATGTACAAACAATCCTTCTCTCTATATAAATCTGCTCCACCCACT